TTAAATTGCAATATTCTAATATATTGCGGTCTTCCTCTCCTTAAATTCCATTATTTTAGTGTACTACAAATTTTGTCTTCATCTTAAATTGTATTATTTTAGTTTAGTATAAACTCCATCTTCTTAAATTGCAATATCCCAATATATATTGCAATTTCCTTCATCTAAAATTGCATTATTGTTGGTATACAAAAAACTTCTTATTCATCTTGAATTCCATTATTTTACTTTACTATAAATTTCCAATTTTCTTAAATTGCAATAATTTCCAATGTATCGCAGTTTTATTTTCCTTGAATTGGAATATTCTGATACGCATATCATCTTCACTAAGAGAGTATTCCACCTAATTGAGAGCCACTGGGATGATCAGAATAAAAGTGGGAATACAAACATCGGGGACATAATAGACGCCCGCCCGATGGAAATACTAATGAGGCTGAACCGTGTAAGTATAACGGATTGCGAAGAATAGCGATCGTTTTCGAAGATGCACTGGGAATTATGGCATTTGGAAATATCAAACGTTTATGGTTGCGAGAGAAATCGACTTGTAAGAGTTTCGTGTCGACGTTTCTCTATTAATACTAACAGGAAATATTTCAAACCTAAATTTATCTTACAAAAAATAATTCCTTAGCTGATACTTTATTTATTACATATTATTTAGCATCCATCTTTCTTCTCTAATTACGTAAACGAATAGCAAGCTTGAAGTTACAGCTTTGAATTAGAATACCAGTCTAAATCTGTTTGTATTTGCACTGGTTCCAGCTGGTTCAAATAAATTCTCAATAAAAAAGAAACAATAGATGCATAATTCCCCCAAAAATTAACACTAATTGGGGGAATTATGCATCTAGGGGAATCCTCTGAAGGGACAGAAAATGTTTCGATATTTTTAACAAAAATATGTCTGTATTAAATAAAATTCTAATCATTTTTACAAAAATATTTCACAATGTTTCTTATTTGCATTAGTATTCATTTACAAATTGCGATTTACCCCCATATTAGAGAAGCTAATCAATGCTATTGTTCTGTTTTATTTTCCATCGTAGAACACTGGCGACAGTGGTGCTAACTATCATAACTTCCAGAACAACCTGTTTTGCGCACGAGGTCCTGGGGAATACCTTTTGTGCACGCGTTGTAAGTGAAATGTTAATTCCATTAAGGTAAGAACATAAAATCATTTATCATAATCATATTCATAAAATCAGAGATCATTTTCAACGGAAATTGGTCAGGTGATTCCTCCAGGCCACAAACCACGCCAAACCGTACATTTTTGTCCGTAGAAGTCTGTCTTAGTAAATGATTTGACCATTTTCTGCCTCCTAAATCTAAAAATGTTGTTCAGTAGCATTGAGTAGCGTATCCATTACAATACGGATGAAGTGAGGATCCATTGCTCTTCGTACCACCCATTTCCAACATCTAAGTAACATTTCTGCGTTGCGAATAATTTGCTTCGCTTAATTTCCTTGTTACGCTACTTTAAGCTATGCTTGATTCTTGAAAACACCTTAAGATCAATTTTGATGGGCCATTTTTAATGTTTCAGGAGCTATGTCTTCAGTGGAACTTACAGATTTTGCAACATTCGCAACAAAAGAATGTTACTTCTACTCGTTTCGAAATAGTAAAAATAATGTTTGGAATTACAGCAGCAATCTCTCAGTTTTTACATACACATACATACATATGTATAATTCTGCATCTATTTACATATTTATGTAAGAAATAGTAATTGTTTTCATAAAAATGACTTTTATATACAATTTAATAAGGTTCAACTTCTGAACTGGAAATTTTGTACGATACAATGTATCTTACAAAATATTTCATATATGCGTTTATCAAGTAAAATAATAAATGATTTCAATAGACAATGATTAAGTAATTTAGCTACACTCAAAATGTAGGCAATAATTTGTGATCACCAATTGCATTATCTACAAAGTAAAAAATGATTTATATATATGTTTCTATTATTAAGAAAATAATTCTTCGTCAGATTCATCTTCAATAAAATTCAATCTACTACTTGACTTTCTGGTTTCAGAAGTGGAGCCTTGCTGTTCATTTGTAGCTTTGATTTTATTTTCTTCTGCAGCACAATTGTTTGATTTACCTTTCGTATTGTTCATAGAATCTTTAGCAGTAAATGCTATATCACTTATTTCCTGCTTAATTATGAAATCTTTATTTACAGTAGAATATGTTCTTCTAACTTTTTGCGTGCTCGTAGAATTATTATTATCGATAGACTTTCGTTTTCCAAATGTAGTGTCTATCGTACACCTACTATTTGTTTTATTATTTTCTTCATCCGATTCTGAACTCTCATCCGTGCACACGGCAAAAACTGAATCTTTGGTATCTTGTTTCATCTTTATCGAGTTTTTTAATTCTCTCAATTTCGCTTTCTTTGAATTTAAAATTAATATAAATTTTTTATACATATCCTGCTCTACACTATTTTTAACTTCTATCATCTTTTCTATATCCGAACATAGCTTCTTTTTAACGTCCATTAAATTTTTATTTTCTTCTTCTAACACACTCAATTTGTCCTGAATATTTCGATAGAATTTCAACGATCGTTGGAAATGCTCCAAAATAATTGTAACATCCAAATCGGAGTGCAACTCAATTCTTCCAAGAATCCATACACCTCTCTTCCATTCTAATGCTGTGTTTTTAATGAAAAATCGAATCTCTTGGTCCTTGCCGCAAAGTATCTTCTCTGTCTCTTCAAGATATTCTGTGGATGATTTAGATAATTCTTCGCAAAAGTAATTTACATTTTTGGTGTCCATCTGTAATGCGAAATTGTTTTTCGTTGACAAAGAAGTTTGTTAAATTAGTACTAGTGTGTTAATTTGTCACAAAAATACAAACCTTACCACAGAGTGGTGGCATGGATGGTTCCATTAACAGGACTGTAAAATGTGATGAATCCAGCCATTCAACGTAAAGTGTGTAGTACTTTGTATCGCATTCATTGTAGATTTCGCATGCACTTATTTTCATTGATGCCATAATATTCTTGTTGCCGTTGATTAAAATTAAATGATTTAAGATAAAATAGTCGATATTATCTTTGTTTAAATAAATACACACTTGTAAATTTTAATAAGAAATTACTTGTATATTATTAACATATTTTTATTAGTTAATAATGTTTTTGGTTAATTGAATCTGGACCTGTCCAGACCTGTCTGGAGTCCAGGTTACATTTTGGAGTCACAGTTTATCTCACATACTCACATAGTATACATATGACTTTCAGTGCAATGGCGCCCTCTGCACCTCATATCAAATAAAATTACCAAACTACTCCAATTAAGAAACCATTCACAAACTATAACTTTGCGATAAAATAAAAATAGAGGGAGGAAAAGAGAGTAAAAACTAAATGAGCGCAAGGTGGAAACGTGATCTATTAAATTATATTATAATATAGTCACAAATTTATTATATAACACTTGCATGATATAAAATAAAATATCGAATTACTCAAAAACCACAACTATACGATAAAATAAATCTAGAGGGGAGAAAAGAGAGTAAAAAAAATAAGTGAACACAAAGTGGAAACATGATCTAGTAAATTATATTATAATTTACTCATAAATTTATTATACAATGCTTGTATGATAGAAAATTATGCATGAAATCTGTTAGAGGATTGTTCCATCTCCCTTCTGTATAATATAGACAATGAACAATCTGAAGTACATCACCTATTAACATTAGCCTTGAGTTATGTAACAGCAAAAGATACAAGCATAAGCTTGCCGATGAATGGAGCTTAAGATTTGTGACAGTCTCTGCCTCCCACCGACTGTCACTCGACGCTATTGTTGACATTTTGCACAGAAGGGAAACAGTTTGAGCATTCATGAACTGTTCAAGGGAATTTTACATCCCTTTTAAATATTCATTTGAATAGAATTAGTTTATCGTCAAATGATGAGTTCACCGGTGTCCATAAACAACAATGGCCCTACGCCTGGTGCTACTGGTATGGAAACAGTGGTGGCTGTAGCACTCGGTGCCCTGGCTGCTGTTTTCCTTGGAGCTCTCTTAGTTCTGCTTGTTATTTGCAAAAGACAACGATGTTACTATGTAAGTAAACATTATTGATGCAACAGGACCGCAAGACTTATACGATACACTTTTAGAATCAGAAAGACTCTCCAGACTTGAGCTCAGACTTGCTAGAAGGAGAGAATTATTCTGGCTTGGGCTTAGACGCGTGGGAAAGCGAGGAATGGTTGGCTGGAGCAGAGAGGTATAATACTGGAACGATACTTGAAAGTGCTTCGAAACAGTTTCTAAACAGTTTTTAAACAATGTGATTGTAAAAAAACTACAGGTGGGTCGACGACGCTACCGGTCTAGCCCCACTGTGCATAGCTGTCTTGAGATCTTGTCACGCTTTGGCTTCGAGCCTCACCGCTATCGCAGGAACAGTGAACAGTAACACGGTTCCATTGGAAATAGTGGACGTAAGCGAACAGCTATCGATCTCATTGATTCTGAACGGTATTACAGGACTTCTATCCTTCAGGTTGCTAGACGTATTCCACCTAGAGTCGACGATGTGGTCAGAAGTTTGTATCCGCCGTTAGACGCAAGACTTTTGGAAGCTAGGGTAGCGGCATTGGTGTTGGCTGTGACGCACTTGGCATTGGTTACTAAGCACGGAGTATCGAAAAGCCACGCTAGGAAATTAGCATTCATCGACCAAGCTTTGAGCGACATGGACTCTCATTTATCAATTCTGAGGAATGCAGCACTGGCGCAGGAGGTAGCGTGCTCAGTCCCAGCTTCCACGCCAGTGTGATTAACATCCTGATGCGGTAAACATTTCTTCCAGTATTCGCTGTTTTTATATCCCTCCGTGGTTTTGGGTATTCGCGCTAAGCTTGGTAGACTCGTCTACCGTCGACGAGTTTCCGATTCACCTGAGATCGAAAAGTATACACAGTGTTATGAAAACGTTACGCGTTAATGTATTTCTATTTTTATTATGTCAAGGTCCAAAACCCAATAGTGCAATTCAAGGTTTCCTATCGACAATGTTCGGTGCTTTACATTGTATCTAATTGTAGTTATTATAAAAAATGGATACATTATTTTTCAATGACGTATTAAAAAATATCGTGAGATATACATTTAAACATTTTTTTTTTTTGCGACAAGAGAACGCTAGTTGTTGACATGGATATGCGCGGAATTCGTTAGTCTTCCATTGTTCTACTATTCGAGTGTTTATGTATAAGGTAAAAACTATATCTCGAAGACCATGTCAATTGTATTAAGTATTTATAAGTGTTTGTACACATATTTTGTATATCTATGAGAAATGAAATTAATTTATAGATAAATAGGACTTTGTAATAAAGCTGAATATTTCGAGTATTCGTAGTGATTTTTTTTTTTAAATAATATTTAAACGTGTTTTATTCTTGATAATATTTTGTAATAATCTGTATATATATCCAATATATATATCCAATTTATGTTTCTCACAGTATATCATTGATATCGGATCCCTAATTATCATCATGGCAGACAAACCATTGATCTTGCATGTTGTCACCGAATAATTCGCTTTATCATTTAAATAAATTAGCTAAGAAATCCTCGACCACTGACGACGCTACACAGCAGCGCGAATTCAGTGCTAGACAGAAACGTCCAAAAGTAAAATGAGGAAGAGGTTTTCTATATCAGGAGAAGTACACTGGAAAGAGAAATGGAACAGATGAAAATACAACCCCGGTTATTCACATTATTTGCTCCTGAATAACTCCTTCTGCCTTTTCTGGTTGTCGTTCAGAACCTTGTTCTTCAGGTGTTCCTTGTAATTTAAAATATTTCCGCTCCACTTCGTGACAGTGCCATTCTCGCATACCCAAATCTCCTCGGCCACCTGATTGATCAATCTGAAGTCGTGGGACACGAGCACCATTCCCCCGTCGAAATCGTTGATCGCGTCCGCCAGGGCGTCGATTGTTTCCATGTCTAAATGATTCGTGGGTTCGTCGAGAAGGAGCAAGTGAGGAACTTGCCAAGCTAGCCAGGCGAACACCACTCTGCAACGCTGGCCATCGGATAGTTGTCGTATTGGACACACCTGAGTAACATTTTTTCAAAAGAATAACATTTTTTCAAAAATTAGAGATCACCTCTAAAGCTTTGAATTATAAGGGAGCATACTTGTTGACGGCCAGTCAATCCATAACGACCAATTATCTTCCTCATCTCCTCGCGTTCCTTGACATCTGGGAAGGCCTTCAGCATGTAATCGAGAGGTGATATATCCAAGTCTAACAGCTCGTGTAAATGCTGATGGTATCTTGCTATTCGAAGATGGCTGTTCTTACGTATCATGCCACTCGATGGAACTAACTGTAATTAATTAATTGATTGATTGTAATTAATTGACTTCAATAAGTACTCAGTTTAACAAGGAAAAGAAAGGACCTTCACTGATTTCGTTGTAACTTTGAGCGATGTTAGATTTTCTCATACAAAAATATAGTATTGTCGGAGCAGACACTCGATACTCTTTTAGATTTGGTCTAGGTTATGTCTGTGAAAGTTGCTTACTTTAAATAAATAAACTTTACTTAGTTACTTTAAATTGCATTATTTTAGATATAGTTTCTATATTTTAGATATAGCTGATTTTATATTATTCATGTTCTTCTTTGTAAATTCCAATATTTCAATACATTGCAGTTTTCTTCTTCTTAAATTGTACTGTTTAGGTGTATCATAAATTTCTTTTCAAATTGCAATATCTTAGTTACATCTCCAAAGATAAAATCTAATTACTTTAAATTTAACCCTAACTGCCACCACATAACCCTACTTTATTCTGATAATGAAACTTCATAAATATCTCAAATATTTAAAAAAGATGTCTTCTTATGTCTGCCCCCATAATACTATATTTTCTCTATCAGGCTGACAAAATCTACCTGTATACAAAGTTTCAACTCGATGAAGGTCTTGCTCTTTCCTCGTAAGTGAAATGTAACTTTCAAATGCATTCTAGATTCTACTACTCACATCTCCATACAACAGTTTCAAAAGAGTACTCTTCCCAGCCCCGTTTGGTCCAACCAACGCGATTCTGGTATCCAAATCGATACCGAATTCTAGGTTCTTATAGATCCAAGGCGAGTCTTCGTTGTAACGAAAGCTGACATTCTGAACCATTATAACAGGGGGTGGAATAGTTCCACACGAGGGGAAGTAGAAGTTCAATACTTTGTCGTTGACAACTTTCTCAGTGAGGCCTTGCGCTACCATTTTCGCCAGGGTCTTCTCCTTTGATTGAGCTTGTCTCGCCAGCTTGGCGGAACCGTGGCCAAATCTGGCAATATAGTTCTTCATGTGCGCGATTTGATCCTGTTCCCAGTTGTATTGTTTCGCTTGATTTTCCAATAACTCCATCCTAATTTAAACAATTCTCATCAACCTCCTTTAATATATATCAGTCTTGAGAACCTTCTAACTCACCTCGTTTTCACGAAGGCTTCGTAGTTACCGGTGTAATATTTCAATTGCTTCTTATTCACGTGAATGATATTTGTACAAATGCCGTTGAGGAAATCTTGCGAGTGAGAAATAATTACGAGGATTCTTTTGTACGTCTTCAATTCTTCTTCCAACCACACGCAGGCGTCGAGATCCAGATGATTGGTTGGCTCGTCGAGTAACAATAAATGTGGTTTCACGTACAACGCTCTGAAAGAGAATATTTCAAGTAATCGTTGGAATATGTCATAAATATTTCGCGTCCGCGTACCTGGCGAGAGCGATTCTCATTCGCCAGCCTCCGGAGAAGTCTTTGGTGGCTGTGTTCTGCATTTTCGCAGTGAAACCCAATCCATGCAAGATGTGGGCAGCACGAGCCTGGGCAGTGTCAGCTGACATGTCCTCTAATCTCTCGTAAACGTCCATGAGTTGTTCCTATTTAAATAAAACGTTAGTCTATGCTTCAGTTTCTACGCTTCAAAAATATCTAAACAGATACACACCTGAGCATCCTCCTCGTCGCATTCTACTAATTCCTCCGCTAGTTTCTCTAATCGAACACGCTCCTCGTCTACTTCCATCACACACTCTAAAGCTGTTTTATTGCTAGCAGGCATTTCTCTAGTCAAGTGAAAGATATCGATTTGTTGAGGAATAGGAACTTCGCGGTTTCCAAGCACGGCTAGTAAAGTAGACTTCCCGGATCCGTTCAGACCTAGCAAACCGTAACGTCTACCGCAATTCAATTCTAACATGGTGTCCTGCAGTAGTTCACAGCCGTGGAAGGTTATAGAAAAGTTAGATATCTTTATGTCTCGACTACGGGGGTGGGAAGCCAAGGATCCTGTACAAGAACGCGCTTCTGCGTTGAGCCTAGCGTCTGCCTCCAATTTCATGCACAGTGCCTCTGCAATGATAAAAGAACATTTCATTCACCATGCTATTTTCCATTTAAATCATCACTAAACAAGACAAGATTCGTCTTAAACTCAGTTGATATCAATCGTAAAGTGATTTTCTTGCTAGTTTCCTACATCCGTAAGCTTCTATTAAGTTGATACAAGGTTTTAGAACCAGATACAGCTATGTGTGCATGAATTAATGTTAACATGGAACTACAGATTCTTCTGATACAGAAAACTAACACTAATCATTATGTGGTCGATACTAAAGTTTAAAAGTCAGTTTTCTAAGAAATCCAACGAGTATAGTATATCGCATTAAACTGATTCCTTCGGATTCTACCTTCGATACTAATGGGAGTCCCATTCGTTCCATTCTGGAGAGTACCGGAGCCAGGGCTTCCCTCTTTCCCATCCTCCCCAGTTTTCCCCTGATTTGTTTGAGCCGGTTTCTTTCCAGATTGTCTGGCCTTGGCAGCTTCTTTCTTTTTCTGCTGCTGTTTCTTTTTAGCGTCGGACGGCATGGTTCGTCTGAAATTCAACGAAATCAGCCCACTTCCTATGGAAAACTCTCGAGATAGAGGAAAGTGTTATGTAAGCCTCGGATTAGGAGCACCGCAGGCACGTGCGTTTAGGTAGCGTTTCGAAAATTCAAAAAACCTCCATAAACGGCTCGTTACATGAGCCGAGACAACGAGAAAGACAAGGACAGACGGGGTGAGAAAGGAGGACACAAGCGGAGCGAGAGAGACAGATGGAATTTTAGTTTTCAACGAATTTCTCAAGTATTCGAGCATAGATGGGGAAATAGCGGTCGTAGGAGCGATCGAGGGAGCAAAAAGCGAGACCAAACCAAGATCGAAGCCCGAGGAGATTTTTTTAAAGCCAGACGAAACGCAGGACCGCTCGAGACAAAAGAATCTTGAACCTCTCTTTGTCTACGAGGCGAATCGATCGCTCTGTGGCTATTCGGTGGTGTGTCGTTTCGTTCAATGGATAGTAATCAACGTTGTCGAGAGTACCTTTTGATAAATTACCTAGTTGTGCGCCAAAAATCGAACGATCCGTGCAACACGCGATCACACGTGCATGGATAGAGGCAAAGCCGTCAAAATGACAATATTTGCAGGATCGTACGAGAGATGGCGGCTTTCCGCGGTGAAAAACGCGCGAAGGGTCAGTTGGCAGCCATGCCTGAGCTCGAACCTTTGAGTATACAGGTGTTCCAAAAATGTTGGAGGTCTTTGAATGGGATGATTCAGGGGGTGATTTGAAACAACTTTTTCCTTAGCGAAAATGTTGCCCAAAGCTTCGTTAAGGAGATATTAAGGGAAAATGTCGACCAATCAGAGCGCGAGTTTGCCGGGTGAGCGGCCGCTCTATCGACATACTCGCGCTCTAATTGGTTGGCAACCGCGGCCGCCTAGCGCGGACTACGTGCCCACTAAACAAGATGGCCGCCATGCGTAGCCTACGCTACTGCGGCCGCTCCATCGGCATACTCACGCTCTGATTGGTCGACATTTTCCCTTAATATCTCCTTAACAAACCCTCGGACAACATTTTTGCTAAGGAAAAAGTTGTTTCAAATCAACCCCCGAACCACCTCTTCCAAGGACCTTCAAAATTTTTCGGACCCTTCTATGTAGTATTACATAGGATTTTTCATTACAATTTTTACTCTTTCAGAGTATTACTAAATCGAACTTTGAGCAAAAAATCATTCAGTTTCATTATTTTCCCTTTAACTTAAACTTTAATTTAAAATTACGTTCGATACAATTTTTCAATTGAATTTTGCCGGCGATTTCGGGTCGGTTCATGGGCTTCGCTCATCAGAGGCGCTGAATCTACTACCATACTTATAGGCTGTTTCTCTTCTATCCTATACTATGATTCAACAATTCAAAATTCAAAACATTAGCAGACTAAAGTATCAAATTTTGTTCGAATTAGAATGCGAAGCAGCTCTGCAGGGCGTAGGTCGTCCACGAATCCCGTGAGGATAAGTGTAGTTGAAAGGGAAGAGGTAAATTTGATGCGAACTGATACGAGAAAGACTCAAATTAATAAACCTAAGATTTCTACTTCTTCGGTTGAGAGTTCCCATATACCTAGACTTAGAGCAGTATCATGTGACAGATTAAGTAACAAGATAGCAGGTTTGAAGGAAACAGGTTCGTTAATTAACGCTTCGTTTAATTTCATGTTTTTAAATATATACAAAGAATGGAATCCAAACTAATCTTTGTTATCATCGTAGGTAAAACTCCTCTTCGTCATGGATCAATGACTCCGAAAACACATGGAAGTTCTAATAGAGGTCATTTGGCACTTCCAACAGGGCGCAGATCTTTGTCAGCAGATCGTGCCAGTAGTATTAGTGCTAAGGGCTCTAAAAAAGATACACGGCTCATATCAGACAAGGTGTACCAAACTCACATGCTTCATACAATCGATACATACTTTTCTAACAATCAATTCTCTTACATGCTTAATAGTAACGGCAGCATGAAACCTGTTACTTTGAAAATGTTTGTAGAAGTTTCTGCTCATTTACTGAAAATGCTAGGCATCAAACAAGGTCTTACGATTTCTAATTACGTGGAGGAATTGCCAAAAATTGCAAAGAAACTTCACTATCCGGGTGTTATTGCTAAATCTTGGTTGAAAACTGCTAATGCCATGCACTCTTGGCCTAATGTTCTAGCTTGGATTTCTTGGTTAGTAGACATTTGTCAAGTGAGAGAAATAGCTTTGGAAAAATATAATTTAGAGAATTTACCATTTGTGGGAGACGAAAGGGAAGCCAGTTTCCATAGATACAATCTCTTTGCGATGCTTGACTTTTATAATGCATGGAACGATGAAAGAGTTGAAGAAGAAGCAGCATTGGTAGAAAAATACTTACAAGAAATTGAAGAGCAACAAGGAGTCAATGAAGAGGATTTGAACAATGCATGTTTCGAGTTAGAAAAAGAAACGAATAAGCTACAGACAGTTGAGGAAAACGTAAACACAATTGATGCAGAAGTAAAGCATCTACAGGAAGTATTGGTATCCTTACGGAATGACGAAGAGAAGCAATTGAGCGACATTCGTGCAAAAGAGGAGTATACAAAAACAATTGCTTTAGAAGCAGATCAATTAGAAGCTGAGAATAATACATTGTGTGAACAAATCCGTTTGCAAAATCAACATCGCGATGAATTACTTATGATTATTGAGCAGCAGTCAATGTCTAAAGCAGAGAGAGATAAAATACTGGAGAAATGTATGGAAATGCAGAATTATACGCATCAATTTGATGACCATTTGCAAGATATACAAAAAGAGCTTTACGCAATGGACATTAAATTAGCATCTATTAATAGCAATTTAACTAAAGCAGTTTTAGCATATAATAAAGAAATTATTATGCACGTTAGTGATGATATGGGTGTAGATCTAGAAGAATTGAAAATGCCAGAAAAAGGTATAAATCATCCTGAAATTATGGACATATTAAATGTTAAAGCTAGTTTAATGGATGATCTGAAAGAATCAATAAAGAAACAAATTGTCGAGAATGAATGTTTAGTAAAATTAAATTCTAACGAATTAGAGACTCTTCAAGAGAAACTTAAGATTTTGGAAGATGAAAGCAGCGATGTTGCTAACGATATTAAAGAAAAGAAAACTCTTATAAAGAAAATAAAAACAGATGCCAAAAACGAAGAATTAAAATTAAAAGAACAAATAAAAATTCTGCAAAACGATATCAAAGAAATTCAAGATTCTATGCCAGACAGACAAAAAATTTCAGTGGAATTAGAAGAATCAACAGACAAATTGGATGCAGTTCGTAGAAGAATGGCACACATAGAAGAAAATGCAAAACTTTTCTTTGATAAATTTTACGAGATTTTAAATGACCACAGAAATGAAGTTTCCAAAATACTGGAGAAGCTGAATAAATTGGACGCCGAATAATAGCTTTGCAAAAATACAATTTAGAGAATTTACCCTGTGTGGGAAATGTACATAATAAGATAGATAAGATTTTTTTATTAAAACAAGTATTTTTTTATCCGACATACTGTCTATTTCTACCAAAACGACTGCTCGCTTTCTTTTTATTATATACGTATTCCATTATTTACATTCCTTATATCTAGATGAACAAGTCAAGTGCCCATTTTCTTTGACTGTTACGATATAGGTAGCAATAATTTTATACATGGTGACCATTATTGTTGATGCAAACAACCCATAAATAAGATGATTATTTCAACTAACAATAAGTTCTGTAGTATGCAGTCTGCAGATATTTTCTATGATCAAGAACACTATGAATCGTTTATGCACTCACATTAAGCTTAACTTTGATTAATAATAATTTAAATTCCAGCGGTGGTGGTCACACATCGTAGAAAAATAATTTTCGCTCTGCCATCTAGGGGAGATGGTGGAAATTAATTTGTCCCTAGCATAAATGGCGGGACGCAATACAGGAGCGTCTGCAGCGCCATTACGTGCAATACCAACTGTCTTGGACCTATAGGAGAACTCCCTAGGGTGGCAACACAGCAGTATGCCCTGGTACTCCCCTGGTCAGTTGTGTGCCTTCCAGTAAAACCGACTGTACCATGATTACGAAGGAAATATATTATTATTGTTAATGATAGGAGTAACTGAAACCCTATTAATATGCAAGAGCACAGTTTGATGTTTAAAAGTGGACTTACAGTAGACATACACTGTACTCGCTTCACAAAGTTTTCAAATAACCAAGAATCTCCAAGGATAGAAACTGTTTAAAATAAAGACTTTATCCTGTGCATATCCTGTTTATTAACACTGGTATTAAATCAGGAAGTTATTTTAGAGAAGTGAACTGAAGTGAACTTGTACTTTCTTGTATTTTTAGATTGGGACTAACTCTGAGTAAAGTGATAGTACTCTGTGCAAGGAAATCCAAGAATGGAATAAATATTCCCAATTCCTCCCACTGGTTAAAATTCTGTACCTAATGATGTATTCTTGGGTAAGAATGTATTCTTGCGGACAGTCAGAATGGTAGAGGGTGTAATTCAGTGGAGAAAAACATGGAAAAATAATAAAAGAACAATGGAAGAAAGGTTTGTTCAGAGAATAATGGCATGGTGGTGTTAAAATGACTGGTGATTTATAATTGCATTTAGCCTCGTTGCATCGTATCCAATTTAATGTTTCAAAGAATGTCACAGGAAAGGGGAGATTTCATAATTGAAGCATCGGGAACTGGTTCTTTAAGCGTGTCAGTTCTAAAGAGTTCTACGAAGTTAGCCAGGAGTATAAGTAGTTTTACGATTCTAAACTTGTGTATTGTTGCAATTTCCAAAATTGCAACTGTGTAACAGTATTGTTTTTGTGTGCAATACTAAAGTATAGTGTATATTCTATAATACCATAAAGATCAATATTTATTTAATGGGATAAATATCGATTGTTAAATGTACTTGTGTTGGACGATACAATTATTCAGTTAATGATAACTCACATATTTATTCGGATACAAATTTAATAAATTTTATGTGTATATAAAATAAATAATGAATAACAAATATCGATTAACGAATAACGAATAAAGAATAAGAAATGAGGAACAACTAATATCGAATAACGAATACATAGAATGAATACCGAATAAAATCAATTCCAAACCCTCCCCCACTATCGTAACGTCTCATATCATAGCGTCTCGACGCATCACCGCCGATAGCCGACCCGTGAACGTCAATCGAGCAACGTCATCAAACGAACAAATCCATTAGGACGTGTATCGTCTCCGTGCGCACCGTGGGAAATTCGAGCCGCGCCGTAAATCCAGCCCCGAAGAATCGCGTTCCTCAGTGGTTACGTGGTTCGAACTGCGGACCCGGTTAAAGAAGTGTGCTCTGATGAATGAACGAATGGATAAACCACTCTGGAAGGGGGTTGGTTAAAAGAAGAGACGGACCTGCGCCCCTGTCGGTTCCAAGTCTGCCGGTTCAACGGTGGAGGGGGCAAAGAGGGCGGCGGGACGGGCGAGGGGAAAGGCGATGGCGGGCCAAGGAGGGCGTATATACTTAGAAACGGCGAGAGGGGCTGTGGGAGGGGGGATAGGTGGGAGGAGGTGGGACGCAGGAGCGGCTGTGGGCTTAATTGCACCGCATCACAGAACGTAGTATTTCGTAGTACGTAATGGTGGGGGGTGTAATGCGTCCTCGGTCGTTCGCGTCCTCTTCGTCGGCGTCGTCTACGTTGTTATTCGTATGTAAGCCCTGCACGCTTCCTCCTGGATCGACGTATGCGTACCAGGGGCGTGTCTAGCGTCCGCACGACAGGGGGGAGACTTCCTCTCGTCTCTCAATTTTTAATAAACGGTCGACACGATACGCGTGGACCATCACATATGGATAAAATATAATATAATATATATATATATATATAATTGAAATTAATTCGAACGACTTCGAAGGTTCCCCTTTAATCGCCGACATTTTCTGACAACGAATATAGGGGGACGTTATCGACTATTTATTAAAATACAGAGGTCACCACCGAAACCCCACCATCTCGCTTGTATTCTCTCTCCTACCCCTCCCCTCTCACAGGCCACGGATTTGCATCGTCGAAAATTAATCGTTGTCCACTCCTAAAAGTGTGTCAAACGTTTGAGACCGATCGATTATCACGCCTGTGTCATACGTACCGCTGATTGGTCCGTATTATCGTCGTTTCAGCGATTCCCCTACTACACGACTAGCCAACGACGTTCCGTGTACGTCGTTCGAAATTAGGAGTCCTCGGGATACCCCAAATACCTTCTTAATACGTTATAAATACCTCGCGACCTCTGGACGATCAATTTCCATCAATTGGATTAATGTCTGGAGTAGTTAAAGTACTATGGATAACTACGAAAAAGTTTCGGGAAAAAGTGTTCGCGAAAGAGAGGAACACGTTGTCTTTTTATATCGAGCCGCGTCGATGGGACTAACAATTGATGTAGTGAATTTTGAAACTAAAATATATTTAAGACGGTGGCGGGATTAAGATGTAATATGTTTTTGAGACGGGGGGCCCTGGGAATCTTTGAGACGGCCCTGGTCGGTTGCGTGCGTGACGGGAACCCACACGCGCGCTCGCGTGTCACCGCTGTTAACCCTCGTGTAAAACGGGGGGTCCCACGGGGGGACGGGGTCGCGACTGAAAGGAAGGGGTTGCAAAAAAGGTGTGAATGCCGGATGGCATTCATTCAAATGCCGTCCAATCGCAGCATCGTACTCCAGGTCGAGTGACAGGGCCGGCGCACGTCTGAAATTATATCTCTGTTGATTCTGCGGTACACTGAGGGTACCAGACGAATTTGCAGGCCATTAAACGTCTCGTTATCAATATGAAAAGGAAATATTTATAGAGAAATAATTGAAAGTTGTATTAACACATTTCATTGTGGTCGATTCTCAATGGAGTACGTTGTGGTTTTGGGGGAATCCCGCAATTTTCGCTGTGGTTTTGGGGGAATCCCGCAATCTACGCTGTGGTTTTGGGG